TGAATCTGAACTGTCATCATATATTTGAATGATATCATATATTTTATTTCTAATGGACTCATCTAATGTGATGGAATCTAGTTTTTGTTTGACTTTGTATTGGCTTTTATAATGACCAACTTTTCCACATTTATAACAAACAGATAATTTCTTTTTATTCTGTTGGGATGTTTTGGAAGCAAAACGTTTAGTAAATTTTCTATATTTTTTCTGTTTGGTTGGAAAAGACTTATGTGTTTTTTCGGGTTTACTACGATGTTGTTTCTTTTTATATATTTTATGTATTTTATGTGGTTTGGTTTTATCCATATGAGGTTGATCCATATGATAGCCAAATTGTTGGCAGGAGTCTCCTAATTCTTTTTTACCACTTAAGTTTTGTTTATCAAGTTGCTTTTTGAGTTTCAGATCTGTACATAGGGCTAAGCCTTCAGCACAGATTTTGACGATAATTTTCCTAAAGTATATTGAGAGTAGTTGATTACACCACTATTTTTATTTTTTAGACGTTCTTTAACCTTTTCAGCAAATAGATATGGTAATCCTGCTACGAATTTTTCTTTCCAGTGGTCAAGATGACTATCTTCGCGTATGAGTAATCGAGAGAAAAAGACGTCTTTATACCATTTGTAGTGTGATAGTGTAGGACATCGTAAATTAGATAAAAGATCAGCAGTTCGTGCTGCAAGTATTGAAGTATTTCCCATAAAATGAAGGGCAATTGTATAGATTAAGGAATTGACAGCATCGCTTTCAGAATATACCATATCCTGATTGTGTTCATTTTTTGCTGTCCATTGTCGAGTATTAGTTAATATTTCATTGAGATAGGAATCCCACCATCCTCTTAGCCATCCAGTAAATCCTGAGACTATGGCTTTTGTTATTTCTTGATCATGGCTACCAGCCATTTTACATGCCGAAGCATACATGGTCATATGTTTCATTGTATCTAATATTCGATGATCGAAAATTCCATGAATATTCCAGTCTATGATAGTTCGACCAGTATATGTAGAAGTATGACTTGTAAGGTCTTCTTCTAATTGTATATCAACTGGAGTTGGTCTCTTATAATAGGGTCTGGCATTTATTGGTTGCCAAGTTTTACTGTAGTTGATTCGATTTATCGTATCTGGAGTAATATGTATTTCAGAAAATGCCTTTTGTATATTTTTTATTGTGTTGGAAATTGGTGGTTCCATATTTTCATTGGTTTGGAATATTATTTCTTCTTGAAGGGTCATATTATCATGTTCTAGAATTTTTGCTTTTCCTTTATCATTGTCTGGTAAAATAATGGTTGGTGTGGGATCTTTAATTTCTAATTTAGATAATTTTGAGATTAATTGATCCATGAGTGTTTTATTATCATCACCTATATGGAATTTTTCTTTATTCAAGTCAGGAGGAGGTTTAAAAAATAATTGTTTCTTCTCTTTATAGATAGGTGGATATAATAAGTTTTCTATTCTACTAGTTTGTTGACCAAGTGTATGAACTTAAAGATTTGTATAATTATTTTGTTCAATTATATGGGGAAGCAATTCTATACAAGCTATATTTGCATTATTTAATTTATATGGTGTTGCTACGGTTTCGTATACAACCATTTGGGTTGAAGTCGAGGTTGAGGATTCTATATTTAATCCTGTTGTGGCAGAGGCTTTAGTAGCAACTCCTTGTATTTTCAAGCTTTGTTCAGGAGGATGTATGGCTTTAATTGTATTTCCTTCAATAGTATTAAATACTGTATATTGAGTTTCTAGTGTATTTATTTCAAAATCAGGAATAGGGATATTGTGTTGGCTTAAGGTGTCTCTTAGCCAATCAAAAAAACATGTTCCTTTATTTCCCTTTTTTCTCCATCTGTTAAATCTTTTGTGAAACAATTCTACTAATCTAGGTTCAAACTCTTTTACATACAAACTCCAAGTCCGGCGTTTTCCCCGGCAACATACCCAAATAAGCAAACCTCTACTGCTGCCAAATCAGTCTATATAGACACAGCCTTCTTAACAGATATACCTATTTCTGATAATCATGCACAACTTGACCCAAATAAATTAGCTCCCCTTTATCTTGTGAACCACCTAAATCCATCATACAGAGTCAAAACCCGTGAATGGTATGAAGCTATTCTTATGGAAACCGGTTCGGTTTCAATTGTTCATTTTTATCAAGGTACGACTAAAGTATATGCTTACTCCAAATTTCAAATTAAAAAATTACTTTCTTATGATGATTGGGGATGCAATCCTCTTCAAGGAAAAAAGTTATTGAATCCAGAATTTCAATATAAATATTATAAATATTCTGAGTACATAGAAACCTGGCATAAAGTATTTTTTTACCAGAATCCAAATAATACTCATTCCTGGTATTTACAATTCAAACTCCCTATTCGTGAAAGATTTCCAAGTTGGTTCCGTCATTAGTTTTTACTATGGGGATCACAGACCCAAATCTTACCAGATGCCTTTCAAGCCTTGCAGACAAAATTTGCACAACATAATACTTGTACCAACCTAGATGATTTCCATCTCTACTTCATGGCTATCTACCAAATACCCTAGATCCTAAAATGGGATTACTCTATTGCTGAAAATAATACTAATAATTATGAGTATATTCCCAAACTTGGCAAAACCTTTAAAATCAAATGGTGGGATATTTTTAGTACTGACCCTGCCTCTTTACCCCTGAAACGAATACCTCCTCAAACCAACATTCTAAACCCACCAGCATATAATACAGTCAATCTACCCACTTTCTCAGCTTATCTGAAGAAAATGAAACAAGCATACCCTAATGCTACCCTGGAAGAATTAGAGCAAAATCTTCTTAATATATTTGCTCCCGATACCAATACACCAACTACATCTGAAGAAACTGTTCAATCCGACAATCCCTTGTTTGACAACTTCAACCAAAGACCGGATGCTTAGCCCGGCCCGATATGACTCAATACAATGACATCATAAAAGCAAGATGCCTCCACAGTTCGATGATAGGACCTCACCATCAGATAGGACCTCACCATCATAAAGCAGATGCCTCCACAGTTCGCTGATATGACATCACCAGCATAAAGCAAATACCTCGACAAAAAGATTCCATTCTTTATAAATTGATAAGACATCTCCAACAGTAAAGATGCCCCTTTTTCCCGTTTCGATTGATGTGACTAATTTCGGGTCACATCACGCTCACACCTCGACCGACGTGTCTCTTTCTCCTTCTTCGTTGTTCGAACATGCCGCTCCCACAGACACACCAAAGATTCGCCATCGCAATCCATCGCTGTCACCGACACTCGGCTATCCCCTGCACCTGCCACGTACCCCTCTTCAGTGGACACCTTATCCTCTCTCAGCCACAAGCATTCCTTCGTCGCTACGCTATCCTCTCTCAGCCACAAGCATTCCTTCATCGCTACACTATCCTCTCTCAACCACAAGTACTCCTTCATCATTCATCTATATATATATATATATATATATATATATATAT